CAAAGGCCTTAAACCTCGTCCTCTGACCAGCTCTCGTCTGTTTCTGAACAGGCATGATCTTCATCACCTCGTCTTTTAAAGTTGGACCAACGAGGAGATCAATGATCTGGTACTCCTTGACGGGGAGTGAGTGGAGGTAGATCTGCTCCAGCTTCTGGATCTTTCCTTCTTTCACGAGACGGCCTAGCTTGGTCACTGGTGTCCACTTCTCCTCTTCAGCGGGACGTCCTCCACGTCTACCACCACGTCCTCTTGGACCGCCACGACCTCCACGGTCGCCACGACCTCCGAATCCACGTCCGAAACCACCACGGTCTCCGCCTCGCTCGGCACCACGTTCTCCACCACGTTCCGCCATTTTTGTCGAGAGTTTGCTTAGAGTTTGCGATGTGTGTTAAGAGTGAGCAAGCGAAAACCCTAGGCTTTGTCTTATATATGTTGCAAAAGGATTCTAGGGTTTCTAAAGGCCTTGTCAAGGTTTGTTTGGTAACATTAATAATGGGCTTGTGGCCCAATTAAATCATCGGGCCGGTCTTTTTTAAAAAGGATAAATAAAAGTCACTTATCATTTATTAATTTTAGCTTCAATCTATTGGTCAAGAAACATAATTGACCTGACTTTTTTTCTGAGAAACACATAATTGACCACAAGTTTCATTTTTCATGCTTCTTTTTTATTTGATGTTATGATGGTATCTACTTTGATCTCATTTTCCTGTTATCTGTTTTTTCATTCTTGTGTATAACATCGTTTATTAATCAGCGTTATAAAAAAAATATAAAAATAAAAAATGAATAGCACTAAAGCATCCGCAACTGTGAGATTCATAGGAATTCTTAAAAAAAATGGTATTTCGGATTTGGTAAGGATATTTCAGATTTTTTTTTTTTTAAAAAAAAGACCATTCGCGGACTGCCACGTGTCCTGAGGACCTGTAAATAGTGTAATAATTCGCTAAGAAACAGTCATTATTTAGAGATTTTAATAATCAAATCATTAACTTTTTGTGAGGTCTGATGATTATTTAATTATTTTTTCCTTGAGAACTTCTTCCTAACAACTCCCGTTGGAGGTGCTCTATAGGTCCATACTCCATAACAACTTAAAGAACGTAATCTTTTATTCATGAATTTTAGACAAACAATACAGTAAGTGTAGTACACAATGAAACAATAGATCTCTTAGCATGCTATTTATGTGTATATTCCTATAGTATCCACAAGTATATGTGTATATAGCATACTATTGTATACTCCGTAGCTATGTGTATTTATATGTGTGTTTGGTAGGTCTAATTAATTAAGTGGATGTGCACTGAGGGAAAACAGTGCCTTTGTCCATCACATTAGCATTGCTGCAACTTCCTTTCCCTCCCTTAATGTTCACTTTGTCAAGGACAATTCCTTGGCATGGATAGTTCTTGCTACAGTTCAACGTTATTGCCATGTCCGATGCGCTTGTGCCACTTATGTTCCGGTACACCACGTCCTTCACTTGGACCGCTGATTTCTGAAAATATGTTGTATAGTGATTAGATCCAATTACCCTTGAGTCTTATAAGTTTTGATCGGATTCGAGCAAACCTGTTCAGTGCATTTGCTCTTGTCACAGTAATCTTGGTCGATTATGATTGGATTCTTCACATTGTCCATCTGAATGTTCTGAAATATAATGTTCCTGGCAGTTCCTGACCCTCCCTGAATTGAGTTAAATATAAAATAAGAAACGAAGTGACGAGTGTGGTAAAAGTAAGAAGGCTGGTTAAAACGGAAGGGGGGAGGTTAGTTTGTGATTTCACCTGATAAGTTTTGATCCTAACTCCATTGTCTGTACCTGAAAGCTTAGCACCATCTACAGTCACGCCTGATACGAATGCCTTTGAATTGTCATCTCCTAGGCTTCCAATGCTGTTCATATTCCAAAAGCAAATATCAGATATTTATATAATTTAAATGATTACGGTTGAAAACATTCAGGTATATATACTTGAAACATTCATTGATAATACCTGATACCGTGACCGGGACCGCAAGTTAAATCATTGATTTCAACATTTTGTGATCCAGTTTCAATAGATATACAATCATCACCTGCATATAAAAACAATCATTAAGACCAATCTTCACGGATTCTAATGATAAAATCCAGTAAAACCCATGAACTTTAGCTTCCTTGATATGCAAGCAACTCTTTATACTCAAGGGTATGTAAATGGATATGATATTAACCTGTTCCAATGATGGATCTGGAGACTTGAATGTTTTGGGTGTTAGTGATGTGAATACCATCGGTATTAGGACTATCAGCAGGCGCAGTGACCTCTACATTTGAGACCTGAACGTTGGAACATTTCTCTATCGAAATCTGGATCTGTTGCGCATTTCTCACCCTCAGGTTATTCACTCTCAAATTCTTCGAGTTGTAGAAAGTGAGAGCCTGCATATAAATAATTTATTCGTGTAATTTTTTTATCCAAATATGATAAAAACCATCTTCATTATTATATATGAAAAAAATCTTTAGTATTTCAACGTACCGTTGGGGCGTTTGTGCATGGCTTCGTACACAAAAGAACAAAAAGAGCGTTAATATCTCCAATGACTCCATTATATTATAAAGATGACATGTAGATGTATGTTAACTGAATGAAACATTTACATACACACACCTTAGCTTCGTTCCGTTTGCATGAGTTTTGCCACCACGTTTCGCCGTTTCCGTTGACAGTTCCAGTGGCTCCACCATCTATAGATAGACTGTTAACGCTATCAAACGTAATCCATTTGCTGAGATCTTTGTAATCAGATCGTTCTTGAGATGCCGATAACGTTCCGAAGATCTGTAGTTCCATTCAGAAAACGCTCATTTATATATTCAAATCCATATTTTGTAATCATATATATAGTACAAATTAAATAATCAACTTTGTAATTTACCTGAACGGTAAGAATTGATTTGCATGGACCATTTAATCGAATAGACTTGAGGAAGTAAGTATTCCCTTCAGGAACTAAGAGATTAACAGCTCCGCTTGAAGAACATGCTTTCTTCCATGCATTCATGAACGCCTGGTCATACATGCATGCATGGATCATTAAAACAAACAACGTAAAGTTGGTATACATGACCGTGTCAATTTATGTAGAACGTCACGATATTATGGATATGATATGATCCTAGGAAGTATGTGTATATGCATATATACCTGCGTGTCATCGATTTTTCCATCTCCTTTAGCTCCAAAATCAGACACACTAACAGTGGTTGGAGGCTGCGAAGAGACTCTTACAAAGCTTTTCAAACGTGTACTATCGTCTCTTCGCTTGATCAAGCTATCGGATTTGAACATTCTATTAATGCTGCTTCGTGAAGCTTCACACCATGAGAGCATCAAAAGAGCCCATAATAGGAAGCCTGTAAGAAGTTTGCAACAACAAGCCATTTGAGGTTGGTAAGGAATACGTGTAGTTTTTGGGAGTAGATTGAGAAATGTTTGATGTTTGTGATTCTTGTCTTTCTGTTGGTTTGTTTTTGAAATGGAGAAGTGTCGACGAACGTGTATTTATAAGGCCATTCAAAGTAACAGTATAAGTTTGGTTTCTTAAGCTTTAATGAGTTCGAGGTATGGAGTGAAATTGAGATTGTCACGTAAATACTACTTTAGGCATCTACAGTTTATGTTTTATGTATTTTTCTTTCTTTAGAGTTTCATACATTTACTCTCTCTTGTTTAATCTATTATTGATTTATATTGTCTCTTAGCGAGACCATGCTTATCGTATTTTCTGCAAGAAACATCGCCTAAGGATTTAAGGCCACTGGAGGTTTTTCTGTTATTATAGTCATACATTATTGGTTTAATTGACTAAAATCATTACCTGTACAATTTTTTATTCAATAAAATGAATGGTCAAAATGTGAATTGAACATACACTTGTTGTTATGAGCGACGGATTTATGATGTTGCTATGAATTTTTAACAATTAATATTAGTGTAGATGGTTCATCATAATTAAGTCAGACACTGAGACACATGAGTATCATCATTGGCCAGTTTTCTAAAAAATTTTTTATAGCAGATTATGTATGTTGTACCGTTTTTTCTTATCTATTATATTAAAAGAGAAGTCACAACTTCTCTTCATGTGTGATTTTTTTTAAAAATGGACTATTCCTTAGAAAAGTTGTTAGCTTATCTTTTGTATTTGTATAATAAAATCTTAACAACCATATTTACTTCTCATTTTCATTCTCTCAATACATAAGAACATCTTAAATTAAATTAGCAATACATTTATATAAACATTTAAATATTAAAAAATATATATCACTAATGTCTTAAAATAAATAACATATGTATATAAAAGTGAAAACAACACCCGCGCGGTTGCGCGGATAAAGATCTAGTATATGTTTAATAACTATAAAACGATATATAGTAAAACTCATATGTTATCTTTTCAAATTCAAATTTACGTGCAAGATACACAATACAAAAATAGGTGTTATCGTAAATGAGAGTCGTAATTTCGTGTACTATAGAGATATGCGTAATTTTAGCAAAGAAAAAACGAACTTATATGTTGGTGGAAGTTCAAGTTGAAATGGCGATAACTACCTTTCATGTGATTGCCGCATTTTCTTCCGTCTTGATCTCATTGCTTATTTTGAAAGAATGAAATTTGGCGTTTAATATCACATGGTCAAAATAGCAACGTCATATGTATTACACTTTTTTGTTTGTTTGTTTGTCAAGTCGGACCGTTATTGGCTACAAAAAAATGCATATTTTTAATTCATCCCATCACCCACGTAAATTGGTTTATATGAAGCAAATGATATCGATCAAATTGTTTATTTTCTATAGAAACAAATATGTTCCAAATAAAACTACGTACGTACATTCAAGTTCAACCATAGTTCCGCGGCACACAAATTGGGTATGGGATGCAGAGTTAGGCGCAGCACGTGTCTTAACTAGAGTTAAGAACATCTCTAAGAGCATGTTTAATGCATGTTGCTTAGAGAGTTGCTTAGGAGGAGAGAGGTGCTTAATTTAAAGAGAGAGAGTGTGAAAATTGCTTAATTAAGCAACTCCTCTCCTCCTAAGCAACCATCTCTCTTCAAATTAAACACTCCTCTCCTCATAAGCAACTCTCTAAGCAACCTCCATTAAACATGCTCTAACATGTGTCTCCCGTTGAATAAATGCTCATATTTTTAGCTAAGCATTTTTACTTTGTGCAATTGCCAGAGAATTTAAAATTCAACATGTGGTCAAAATTTCAATGTGTTACACATGATTGAGCAGTAAAACCCTGTTCTGTGTTTCTAGAAAGTTTAGAATCATGCATGAACTTTATATTTTGTAACAAGCACTTAAAAATCTCTAATATAATGAAAACTGGTTAACGCAAAAGAAAACTGACTTACGGATTCTAAACTTACAAATACTAATACACCACATGAAATTTACAATAACAAAGGGAAACACTAGTGCCCATACGTGCATATCTTTCTGAATAAAAACTAAGTTAAACGTAACGCACGTCGCACGGTACGTAATTATTGAATATACCATATATATATGTATATATAATACATCTAATAGACGTACGTAAAATGAAAACGTATATACATCGTAAGGCATGCGTGAAGCTTGCTTGAGTGACCCGAAGGGATGGATGGATGAATGCATGACTTTTCTGCGATCCTGGTCTTTGCTAAAAAGCTTCCTTAATTATAGGTTCTTGTTCATCATTTGAAGAAAATTCTCTCGTGTATAGAATTCAACATGCTTATTATTTTTGGAGATCTTGTATTTATAATTCATGCTTAATATATTTTAAAGTTTAGTGTTAATCAAAATTTTACTTATTTTATTACAATATAAGTAATTATTAAGAACTAAATGATATTTTTGTATCTTAAATAGTTTGATCAAGTCAATTAAGGAAATGTATGTTCTTTGGATATATGTTATCTTCAGTACAACTACATATATATAATATTTATATAATATACACACAAATAGCACAACAAAAATAATGTAAGCATCGACAATTTAAATATAAAATGTATTCAACTAGGCACCGGTCGACCAGTTGCGACGGACGGCGGAGCTGTGGACGACGGACGACAGAGCTGCGGCCAGCGTGTCGTTGTCTCCCCTGTTTGCGGCGGTCTCCATGAAAACTAAGACCATCAGGAAAACGTTGATAATGAAGAGTGTGAAGCGCCGCGGAGAGGAGTTCGTACCTATCAATGATTTGAAGCTTAGCATGAGAAAATAAATGGATGGAAAAGTCGACAACTTCCGATAAACTAGTAGCATTTGAGATATGCGCAATTTTAGCACAGAAAAAAAATAACTTCCAAATGTTCTTTTTAGTGCATAAACAACTTATATATATACATGATCGTGAATCTACAAGTTGAAAAGCCGGTTGTCCGATGAAAAGAGTAGCATTTGATGCAATATATCTTCATAACACAAGGCTGACAATCGATTTCACAATCATAATCACACACCATAACATTAAAAATGGTTTGACTTCTCCGGATTTGCTATACCATACTGTTCTTTAACATTTTGCTAGCTGTATAATGACACAAACTTATTATACGTCAACATTTAATATTATTTATTTTAAAACTGAGGGAAAGAACATTAAGTTTTCATCAATCTGCCTTCTCATTGTGTCGTCGTGTTCGCCTAATCAAACCAAAGTCAAACAAAACAGAATTCTTTTTTTTGTTTTGATCAAACGAAACAGAAGTGGTAGAACATAAATCCAACATGATTTCACTGTATTATATTAAAAGATCTATTCTCATATGGGCAATCAGCTCAAAACATTACCCTTACAAATTTTTTTTAAATAATTTTTTCTCTTAGTCTTTCAATGGGTAAAATTTCCAACTACAACACTAACTAAAAGTTGATTTTCATCATCAAATCTTCGGATTTGGGATGGATATTAAAGAATTTAAGAAGAGGATAAGCGATACAATGAGGACAAGAGATAATGAGATGAATAACAGAATAAGCAAAGAGACTGAGAAGAAAGGTCTATTGAACGTCATTGGTGTGACCACTAGTGTGAGCTTAGGACCATTGTCGCTTAAATCTCTATTTTGCCTGACAATAGATTTCAAAATCATAATCACACACAGTGGCGGATGTACAGCCAGTAAGGGTGGGGCATCTGCCCCCTATGGATTTTTTTTTAAAAGTTTTTCTTTACTATTTATAATAAAATTTGGAGAAATTAGATAAATTTGCCCCCTTTAAATCTCAAACCTAGGGTTAACTATTTTTCATTTGTAAAGTTTGAAATTTTTTCCCCTCATAATAAAACTTTCTAGATCCGCCACTGATCACACACCATAACTTCAGCCTAACATTAAAAATGGTAAACATAATTATTTCCGACGACTTCTCTATGACTCTCTGTAAACGTATGTTTATGGTAAGGCATGTGTGAAGCTCGCTTGAGAGACCCGAAGGGATGGATGAATGCATGACCTATTTGGGATCCTGGTCTTTTCTATTTATAATTCATGGTTAGTATATTTTAAAGTTTAATGGTAATCAAAATTTCAGTTATTTTATTAAAATATATATATATATATTATTAAACACTAAATGATAAGTTGTACACAACCATACTGGTCGGACCAAATTGTGCTGGACAGGCCGAAGGAGGCTGGACGGGCCAGCAGGCCATTCGTGTCAGGGAAGCCGGGCGGGCCACGTTGGCCGCCTGTGAGCACAGAACCGAATGTGGGCCAAGTTTGTATGCATTTTATACATGTATAAGAGTTTATGCATCAGGCCATATGAGTGAGCATAGATATTC